GTGTCTGAGGCCGAATTTGAACTCAGGTCCTCCTGAATTCAGGGCCATTGCTCTATCCACTGCGTCACCTAGCTGCCCCAACCATGCTTCTCCCTTTAGTTTCTTATATTTCCTTACATGAACATAATTTCTTCATATATGATGCTGCCCAATCCTTTCCTCCCATCTTTTTACTTAGCTTTCCTTTTGAAATATTTTTCTTTTGTTTTAATCAACCAAGATACACTTTCTCTCCTCCCCCCCCCCCCCCAATTGAGAACACAAGAAGAACAAAACCTATTAAAACATGTCTAGTTAAAGCAAATTTTCATGTTGGCCACATACAAAAAAAATTTCTCATTTTGCATTCTGAATCCTTCACCTATTAGAAGGTAGATAGCATATTTCCTCATTAACACTCTAGAATCCCAGTTGGTTGTTGTGCTGATAAGAGTTGAGCATGTCACATTGATATTCCATAACTTGTTCATCCATCTCCCAATTTATGGGAATTCCTTCAGAGTCTCATTGTTTTCCATCTCAAAAAGTGCTATAAATATTTTTGTATATACTTAGAGTTTGTTTTGCTTAGGATGAATCTCTCCCTTATTCTACCTTCCTTCTAATTTCTCCATCCCCTTTCTTTCCTTTCTGTCCTATTTCTCTGTTGAATGAAATGTTTCCTGTACCCAGCTCCATTTGTGTCTGTATTCTTCTTTCTTTTGACCAGTTCAGATGAGAGTGAACATCAAATCGGTCAGCTGCTCCCCTCCATATCTTCCTACTTGTACACTCTGATTATACGATAATTTTCCCTAATCTTCCTTTGTCCCCTCCCCCAGTGTATTTCTCTTCCTTTCTCTGCTCATTCTTTTCTTAAGTTCATAACAGAACCATTTCTAGGCCTTGTCTATTTGGATTCTTCTGTGGACCCCCATGATGGTAGAATTCAAAGGAGGCATGTGTGTCATCTCCCTGTATTTGTATGGACATATTTGAATGAGCATATTTGAATGAATAAGCAGTTTCTATTTATTTAGTCTTTAATCATTGTTCATTCATTTTTACCTTTGTATTGTGCTCTTCGCTCCTGTATTTGAGTTTCAAAGTTTCTCTATAGCTCTGGTGTTTTCATCAGCAATGCTTGGAAGACCTTTATTCCATGAAAGATCTGTTTTTTCCTCTGCAGCATCTTACTCAGTTTTGCTGGTTAAGTTATTATTGACTATAAGCCCACGTTATTTTTCTCCTGAATATCATATTCCAAGTTCTCTGTTCCTATACTGTGGCAGCTGATAAATTGTGGGTGATCCTGACTATTGGCCTGTGGTATTTGACATTTCTTTCTGGCTGCTTGCAGGATTTTTTCTTTTACATGGAAGTTCTGGATTTTGTCTGTTATTCCTTGGAATTTTTGAGACTTCTTTCATGAGGTGACAGGTGGATTCTTTTTATTTTCACTTTGCCCTCTTGTTTTGAAAGATCTGAGCAGTTTTAAGATTTCTTGAATTAGGATGTCTAGGGCAGCCAGATTGGCCCTGGAGTCAGGAGGACCTGAGTTCAAATCTGGTCTCAGATACTTGCTAGCTGTGTGACCCTGGGCAAGTCACTTAACCCTGATTGCCTCTCAAAAAAAAAAAAAAAGAAATAGGATGTTTAGGCTCTTGTTATGGTCGTGATATCTGTCAAATGTTTTATCCTCGATATGTTTTCCAGGTCAGGGTTTTTTTTTTTTATGAGACACATTATTTTTTTTTCTTTTTTTCCTGACCTTTGAATTTGTTTTGAATATTTCATGTTACCTCATTGTTTTCATTTTGCTCTATTCTAATTTTCAGGGAGTTTGCTGTTTGAGCAAGGTTTTGTACCTCTTGTGCTAAGCTGTTGGTTTCCTTTCTAGTTCTTTCTTCTGTAGCTTTCATTTCTTGTCCATTTCCTTCCTTCAAGCACTCTCATTCCACTTATATAAATATTTTTAACTCTTTTTAAAAAATCTTGCTCTTCTCTTCTAGGAATTCTAGTTGAGTTTAGACCCAAGCTGTGTTTTTCTCTGAGGCATTTCTTGTAGATGTTTTGGAGTCATTCTCTTCTGTGTTTGTTTCTTGACCATCATTGACACAATAAGTAGTTCATTATGGTGTTTTTTTGTTTTTTTGTTTGTTTCTTGTTTTTTGTTTACCCATTCTTCCAAACTATTCTCTGACTTCAGACTTAATGTTAGGCTGCATTCTGCAGCACTTTTGGAGGGAAAGTCTCAGCTGGTTCTGTTGCTTCTTTCTTGGGGTGTTGTGTTGCATTATTCCAGGATCTTAAGGCCAGTCTGAGGAATTGCAAGCTCTCAGTACTCTTGTCTGATCCAAGGTGAAGTCTGATTTTTGCCCCCTGGTCTAGGCTCTGCAAGTTCATGACCTGCATTTTGGTCTGAGCGAGAGTAGACTTGCTACTGGACTCTGTCCCTGTCAGTCAGCTAGACATCTCTGTTGGTTTCCAGTGGCAGAATTTTAGGTTTCCATTTTTTCCGGGATTCTTGCCTTGGTTATTCTTCTGCAGGTTGGGATTAATGCCTTAAGCAAGACCCTTCTCTTTGCCTGAGATGTGAGCCATAGCACTGTTGCTGCTGGCTTTATTTATTTATTTATTTATTCATTCATTTGTTTACTTATTTTTACAAACTCAACTGTTTTATTTTGGGGAGGGGTCTGTATAATGGGACCTATCTGAAGACAGCTCAGGGATTGAGGCCACCACTCCTTTCCCCAAACCAAAATGTAATAACATGAATGAGAATTTATATTTGAATGTGAGAATATGATTTTGTAGGAGGAATCTATTTGGGGATAGGCTGAGGAGAAATGGAACTAGAGTGATATGAATCTTTGGCCTTAGGTGTACCAGGAACTGGAGGGGGCAGATATCCTCAGTGTCCTATTTTGCTGCAGAAAGGGGACCACCCTCAAGAGCAGAAGGGGAGGAAGGTGATGGGGGAGGTGCTGGAGAAGGGTCAGCCCTTTCTTTCCTTCCCCACGTGGTGGAAGAGATACAGCAGTGTATTTCTAGACACTAGGAGGAGCTGCTATTGTAGTGGAGACTAACTGACAATATTAGGCTGGACACTGGGGACTGTGGTAGTGACAGAAGAGGTAATAGTAGAGCCAGAGCCAGGGCTTCAGTGCTAAGAGACAGGACCAACTGTGAAGATGAGGACGACGGGGTTCAGGGTGGGAAGACTGGAGGTGAGCGGGGGCAACACAACCCTTGTGAACACCAGTGTCTGAACAAGTAATGCAATTTTGAGGATCAAATGAGATAATATTTGTAAAAATATAATGTAAAACATTATGTTTTATTTTTAGGAAATGTAAAACATTTGCTATGTAAACTTATTCCCCTTCTCATCCCCTTCCTCCTTCTTTCACACAATATTCTGGAAGTAGAATGCCCGAGAATACTTTCTAATAACAATTTTTGGTAGTCATCAAAATTACTTTCTGTAGTGCCATCTTTTAAAATGGACAACTATTTATAGAGACCAAAGGATCAACAGGGCCACATCATGACTTAAAAATATTACATTATAGATGGGCTTACTCTTTACTGGATATTGAAGGGTTTTCATTACTCCTAACATCCAAATTAATTTTAAGCACCCCCTCGAAAATAAAAAAAAAATTTAGCTAGGAATTTGAGGTACCAGTGGAAAAAAGAAAGATTGCCTTTGGTTAATTAGAATAGATTTTTTATTCCTTTTAAAATGTAGGAGTTCCTTCAGTAGTATATGTACCTAAAAAGAGAAAAAAAAAAAAACTTTTAAATGATTGCCATTCAGATCACAAAATTTTTTATCCAGATTTACCCTTCTTTCCATTATACTATACTACCAACAGGATAGGATGATGGTGTCACATACAGGAACAGAGGAGATAAAATGGGAATATGCTTTTTTATTTTTTATGAGGGGTCTGTGGAAAGTAGATATAGTTTGGTTTCAGATATATTGTTTGATGTTCTGTTTACTGGACTTGAAGTTAGAGTTTATATTTTGGCACTGTCACTAGTTGGCTGATTTTGAGCAAGGTGTTTAACCACCGTCATTTCTCCATGTGTAAAATGAGGAGGTTGTGCAATTTATTCCTGTGTTCTCCTCCAGCTGTAATGTTTCATTTTCATCTATCAATCAATCAGTATTTATTAAGCACCCACAGTGTGCCAAGAGCACTGTGTTAAACAGTGGGGATACAAAACGAAGCAAAAGACAGTCCTTGCCCTCAAGGAGTTTACAATCTAATGTGGAGACAGTATGCAAATCCCCTTGAATTAAGATCAAGAGATCTTTGGTTTAGAGCTGAAAAAGAACTTAGAGGTCATCTAGTCCAATACCATTTTTTCATAAATGAGGAAACTGAAGCCCAGGGATGTTGAGTGACCTACTCAAAGTCCTGTTGGTAGTAAGTAATCTTCTGACTCCCAAGTCTAGCCCTTTCCTCCGCTATGCTACACTGACTTCTAATAATCTATGATTCTGTAAGACAATGAAGTTAACATTTAGGTAACGATATTTGGCAGCCAGATGGAAATACTGGAAATATGGGAGTTCTGGGGAGGTGTTTTCAGTGACCCAGTAGACTTGGGAATCATCTTCATAGAGAGAAGTTATGAGAGTGATAAAATTATCAAGAGAAAGAGAGAGGCAGTCAAGGTCAGAACCTTTTCAAATCCCCTATGTTTTATTAAAAGTCTTGGAAGTTTATAATAACATTGTATGATTTGGATCAGTATAATTTTGAATTAGTAAATAGGTAGTTACAGTGAATTAATAAATATGTAGCTACATCTGTGCATCTCCAGTGACTTCTTTGTTGTTTTCCTAGGGATTTTCTTAAGTCTCTGGATCTCTAAGACTTATCTGAGCCATAGTTATTCTTCTGAAGTATGTATTTAAGCATAGGACTTTCAAGTAATATAGTCCCTTTATTTTCTGTGAGTTTCAAATGTTTTTAATTAACTTACCTTTCTTTTTCTAGTCAGTCATCTTTTGGGAGTAGCACACAGTCTGGTTTGACTGAAGTAAAAAGAGGAAGATTCTCAATTTGGCCAGAATGGAGTGAAGCAGATATAAATGCAGAAAAGTGGGATGGAGGAAAAGGAGCAAAGGAAAAAGATAAATCTGGAAAAAGTCCTATTTTGGTAAGTGGAATATAAGCTTTCTGGATTTTCATTTTCAAGTTCATTTAAAAATTTTTGTTTATTGTATGCTTATATACCTAGTGATATATGGTAGTTAGGAACAACCCATCACCAGGTTGCCTTCAGAGTGATTAATTTTTTGAATTCAGCTGCTCTTGAAGATTATCTAATAAGTTTCATTTAGTCTACAGAGATAAGAGGAAGGCCCTTTGAAATATTCCCATAGAATCATTTCAAAATTATCCAAATTTTGAAGCAGTTTTTGTTTGCTTTGGTACTCACACTGTATTTTTGCTTGCCTTGGTATCTTCAGTGCTTAGTACAGTGCCAAGCATATAGTAAGTGCCTAATAAATGTTTGTTGAATGACTGATCCCCACTAATAAAATTATAGTTCCTTTAAATATTTTCTTGCTTTCAAAAACATCTGTGACCTTATTGTTCAGGCTGCCAGGTTGAGCTCAGCATTCAAAAATGTATTTAAGCTGCAACTTACTTAACATTAGCTCTTCTGTAGGAATAGTTCTTAATCTTTTTTGTGTCATGGACCCCTTTGGCTATCTGATAAAGCCTGTGGACCCCTTCTCATAAGATTTGAAATGCATAAAATTACAAACATAAGATAACAAAGGAATTAAGATACAATTATCAAAGTATTTTTTTTTTTTAAATAAGGTCACAGAATCCCTTCAGGTTGAGAAATTCTGTCCTAGAACCTCAGAAAAAATTTTAACATCCTAGGCTAATAAACAGATTTTCAGTCATAAGTACTGAGGAGCTAGGTGACATAGTGGGTAGAGCACTAGGCCTGGAGTCAGAAAGACCTGAGTTCAAATCTGGCCTCTGGCTCCTACTAACTGTGTGACCCTGGGGAAGTTACTTAACCTCTCTTTTTCTCAGTTTCCTCATATGTAAAGTGGGGATAAAGTAACATCTATCTCCTAGGGTTTTTGTGAGGATCAAATAAAATAATTTTTAAGGGCTTAGCACAGTGTATAGCACATAGTAAGCACTATATTGCTATTATTATTTTAATATGGTATTCTAAAATTATAGGCAATAACAATGTTCTGTTCATTGAATGCTATAAATCCAAGGATGAATTGCGTAGAATACTGTGTATTCAACAGGTGCTTAATAGTTCCCAACTGTTAGTTATGTCATAGTTTTGATAAAATCCTAAATATTGACATGTGAGAGAATATTCTGGAGACATTCTAGTTAATATGTACATCTACACCTAGCAGAATTTTTTCTGATGATCATGAATCTATATGAAAAGTCTTGCCATGTGAATCACATTTAGTTATAAATTTAATGAATGATAGAATTATCAGGTCAAATTTAGAGCTGAGAAATACTTTACAGACCGTTTATTCTGACCACTTCCTTAATTTACAGATAGGGAAACCAAGGCCCAGAGAGGTTAAATGATTTGCCCAAGGTTAATAAGTGGTAGCAGGCATCTAGGTGGCTCAGTGATTAGAGTGCTGGACCTGGAGTCAGGAGCACTCATCTTCCTGAGTTCATATCTAGCCTCTGACACTAACTGTGTGATCCTGGGCAAGTCATGTAACTCTGCCTCAGTTTTCTTATCTGTAAACTGAGCTGGAGAAGAAAATGATAAACCGCTTCAGTATCTTTGCCAAGAAAACTCCAAATGGGGATGTGAAGGGTTTGGACTTGACTAAACAACAAGTACAAGTAGTAAGTGACTAGGAGGTTGTGAACCTAAGTCCTTTGACTTCTCTTTATTGAAAAGAATAGAGCATGACTGGAAATAGAAAATTTATCAAGATCAGTAATTTAAATATTTGTCCTTTAATTTTTGTTATTCATACACTGTTGATAATAAATGGTGGGTTATTATATGCACACTCAGTTAAAGAACTCAATTTACTTACTGATTTGTTAATTTTTGATTTTTGAAACATCTCTTGGCAAGTCTCTGGATAATTTATTTTGCCTCTCAAAAGAAAGTTTCCTTTTTCAGTGGTTGTTAATGACTTTTTCATTCCCTAATGTGTACTTTTCTCTTTTTACCTGTAATAGCATTTGTTTGATGACCCTGAAGGGAAGATCGAAATGCCACCATCACTAAAAATTTTTTCATGGAAACGTCCACAGGAAGTTTTGATCAACAAGGTACAAAGCATTGTTTTCATAACCAATAATGTGTATTGATCAACAACTTGGATATAGTATTAGAAATATAAATATAACAACAATAATAATAATAATAGCTACCATATATATGTATACATATTTATATACATAGCTCTTTAAAGTTTGCAACGTGCATTACAAATATTGGCTCATTTGATCTTCAAAATAACCATGGGAAGTAGATACTATTATTATCCTCATTTTATATATATGAAAACTGAGGCAGAAAGTGCTTAATTGACTGGCTGAGGGTCACACAGCTAGTAAGTGTCTGAGGTCAGATTTGATCTTAAGTCTTCCTAACTCCAGACCCAGTGCTCTCTCCACTATGGTACCTAGTTTCCTCTAAATACACAAACTCTTGGTTTCTAGTGATAAGAAAATACATATTTTCCTCCAGTAGTCAGGAAGAATAAATAATCCACATATTTATTATTCCTTGATGTTTGAAAATTTAAAAGTATAAGGTGATGTATAGCCTATTTTGCTTTATTTTATTTATTTTGCTTTATTGCTCTTATATCTTTCCTTTGCCTCAACTGCCAAGAGGCAGTTTCGATTTTATTTATATTCTTAAGAGAGTTTTTGTGTCAATATGGTAGACTGAGCTGCTATTTGAGGAGACGCCAGAGTGTTTGATTGACAGCATTTTTCATTGTCACTTCTCAGGAGGACTTTCATTGTACCTATAAGGTCACTTTAAGTCTTGCTTGTTTTATTATTTTTTTCAGTGCTTATTAGACTTAACTCTTCTGTGTGTTCCAGTTCTGTAAGTCTCAGTTTGAATGCATCAATTTCCCTATGCATACTAATCAAATACTAGTTCATTAGGTTGTAGCAGGATTGCATGTTTTCCCCCAGTTAATAATTTCATATTATTGTCCACATTATATACTTAGAAAATCAGAAACCTAAGAAGTTTTGAGGGGCAGCTAGATGATGCAGTGGTTAGTGCTGGACCTGCAGTCAGAAAGATTCAATTTCATGAGTTCAAATCTGGCCTCCTACACGTACTAGCTGTGTGACCTTGGGCAAGTCACATAACCCTGTTTGCCTCAGTTTCCTCATTTGTAAAATGAGTTGGAGAAGGGAATGGCAAACCACTTCAATATCTTTGCCAGGAAAACCCCAAATGAGGTCGTGGAGAGTTGGACAGGGTTTAAAAATGACTTAAGAACAACCATAACAAAGAAGTTATGTGACTAATCAAGGTGAAATGATAGTATTGGAGCTTTCCTCTGATGTGTAGTCCTTTTTAGCATCTATAAAATAACATTTCTGATATAACAAAAAATTTGAACAGGGTGAAGTTGCAGTTTATTTCTTATGTGGCCAATGTATCAACTGGGCTTTAGTTCCCCAAGATAATATAAAATCTCAGGTGGTTACTCATAAATTCTCTTTAGCTCATGCCCTCTTTCAAGGTTTTTCTTGGGAATATCATAATATGTCTTATATCTTTTCTTAAAAGAACTCTCAGATTCACATTAAGCATTCAGACTAATAATATAAACATATAAGCTTTAGATCAGAGTTTCTTTATCCTGTCAAAAATATAAAAATAGAGCCTCTTGACAGGAAAATTCTTCTTTCCTTAATCAACCAATCAACAAATATTTGTGATGTGTCTTATAATGTACCGTTGACCACCATCTCTTCCTGAACACTCTTTTCTCTCTGATTTTGCATGACACTGCTCTCTGGTACATGCCACACTTGTCTGGTAACTTCTTCTGTATTCTTAATGATGGGTTTGCTCCAAAGCTCTGTCCAGGGCTGCTTTCCTGTCTTTCTGTATACTTGCTTTCTTGGTGACTTCATTAGCTCCCAAGAATTCAGTTATCATTTCTATGCAAGTGACTTACAGATCTATATAACCAGTTCTAGTCTTTCTCCTGAACTCCAGTACTGTTCCATGAACTGACTTTTAAATTGCCTGACATATATGAATCTTAAACTCAACATATCCAAAACAAACCTCATTATCTTTCCCTAAAACTCACCATGCTTTCTAGTTATTCAGTTGTTATCAAGGACATTGACATCCTTCTAGCCCATTACCCAGATGTGAATCTGTTGATTGACTGTTTAAAAGTAAGTGGAATTTAGTTTGTGTTAGTAATCTGTCATAATTAATATTATCAACTTCTTTTGGGAGCTCTGGGTGGGTCTAGATCTGTGTGTTCATTGTTATAGACCACTGCTACTGGTTTAGATGGGAGATTTCTGTTTTATTGGGCACTTAAGAGGTTATGCAAAATGTCCAAGGTCACATAGTTAGTATATCAGAGGTAGCATGTGAACACAGTTCTTCCTGACTTAAATGTTAGTCCTCTGTCCACTATTGTAATTTGCTTCTCTTTTCATTATAGATGAAAAAAAAAAGGAATTTCCTACATATCAGATGTTTGTTGAACTACAGATCCAATTCAGGAGACATATTAAATAGGTTTTTGTATTTTGCATTTTTGTCTTTATGTAAACAACTGATTAAATTTCATGTTGACAAGGTGATCATTAACCATTATAATTTTTATAACATTCTGATAAATATTAACTGTAACTTTTGTTGATTTTGGATTGTTAAATAATCTCATTATTTTTTATCTTTCAGACTCCTGTGGTAGTGAAAGATGAAATCTCATTTGACTTATTTACAGCAAATGGACATATAATCTGCAGTGAGGTATGTGTAGAGGGGAAGTCATCCATATTTTTAAGTGACCTGGACCAGTTTTGTAACTGAGTGATGAGCTAGATTACAGAGAACTAAAAAATAAGTGAGAAGAGAGGAAGCAGAGACAATAGATATAGATAACATTTTCTAGAAATTTGACTGAAAAATGGAGAAGAGACAGGACAATAGCTTCAGAGAATTGTATGGTTAAGTGAAGATTTTTTTTTTAAGGATGAGGAAGAGTTGGATATAAGGCTAAAAATTCAAGTTCATGTGTTTGTTCCAGTAGTAAGCTTTATGGAATCACCAGCTACATCTTAAAGTCATCTTATTCATATAGGTTCTTACCAACAAAGAGAATTCAGTAAGAAAGTGTAAGTAGATGATTTATCACCACCCAGCATCAACAATGAAAAAACATACACAGCTCTTGTCCTATTGATGGTGTACAGCAGCATCATTTTTATATCTGAAACACAACATATACAATTTATATTAAACATCCCTGTGGTCTTATATTCTGTCATACTCTTTAGTCTAGGACCCTTTTCAAACTGACTACAATAGAACAATAAATCTGATCTCCAAAATTTAACTTGCTTAAGAAAATAATTATGGCTTTAGATTTGTTTACTCATGTTTGTCTTCCAAAATAAAATAGTAAGAGATCTTAATGTGCCTTTAAGCTAATTAATAATTATTAGTGCCTGTAAAAATATATGTATATTTGCAAAAGTAAGAAAACCAAGCCTAGTATTTAAATTTAAGTTACTAGATTTCTTTATGAAAATTATTTCATAATTCAATATGTTGCACAGAAATTAAATATTACTATTTCATTGGTCATTCAATGTTATTTTTTCTAAGTTTTAATTTTCTAAAATTATTATAGCTTCAGATTTGTCTATACATATCTGTCTCCCAAAATAAAATGCTATTTTTCTAAATTGTAACTGTCTAAATGCATTTGAAATATATTTAGACAGTTACAATTTAGAAAAATAACATAGTATTATTATTATATATTATACATAACAGTACATATTGCATATGTACTCTGAGTTTTCATGATGCCTTTGTGTTTGTCTTTCATTTTCTTCTAATTTTTAATTGTACTTTATTATACACCAGTATTGCCCTCCTTATTTTTTTAACTTTTCAGTTGCATGATATGTTTTAGAACAACATGCTACTCTTAATTGTAATGCACATGTACTCATAATATATAAATATAATAATATATTATCATTATGTTATTTTTTATAAATTATAATTTTCTAAATACATTTAAAATGTATTTAGAAAATTATAATTAAAAAAATAGCATTTTATTTTGGGAGACAGATATGTATAGACAAATCAGAAGCCATAAAATTTTTTCTTAATTACAATTTAGAAAAATAACATATCATATCATAATAATATATTAATAATAATCTATTTTAAAAATTCATTTTAGATGTATTTAGAAAAATATCATTTTAAATTTAGTAGCATTTTAATTAAAAAACTATTTAATATTAATTTTTTTTTTGTCTTTAGCTGATGAGATGGATTATCAGTGAGATACATTCAGTATGGAAGATATATAATGGAAATATTTTAAGCCAGCCCACAGATCCTCCTGTTCTAAATTGGAAACCCTGGGAACATATATATTCTCTATGCAAGGCAGTGAAAGGGCATATGCCTCTATATAATAGCTATGGAAAATATGTTGTTAAACTTTATTGGATGGTAAGTTGACATGCACCAAAATACATTTAAAAAATATTGCCAGCATGACCATTGGTGTAACTGGTGTCATGTCATAGAGTAGCAGTTGTGTGGCCATTGGCAAAGGCAGATTCTGGAAATGAATCACTGACTTGATACTTATTTCTCAGCCTCTGTCCCTGTCCCTGCTACGCATTCCTGCTTCCAGGTGAAAGGTTGCCATTCAATTTAACTCAACAAACTTTAGTTGTTTTTTGTTTTTTTTTTTTTAAATTAAGTGTGGGTATAATACCAAGTACTAACAATGAAGCAGTCCCTACCTTCAAAGAATTTACATTTTATTGGGGAAAAATAGAAAGTTGTTTGAGAAAAGAGTAAACATTAACAACTAGGGTGATCAATGAAATCTTCATGGAGCAGGTGACATTTGAGCTGAGCCTTGAAGGCACTTCTCAATTTCTTCTTTGCTGTATATCTCTGTCTTACTCCCCCCCTCCCCCCGGCCATGACCTAGCTCTTAGAACCAATTCTTATCCTAAAGTTATGGATCTAATTTCCAGACTCCTCATATCTCCATTGTTCCTTCATGCCAGAAACTGTTCATCCCTGAGACCTACTGGGAGAATAGGATAATTTTGATTATAAAGAATTTTTGCCTTTTGCACTGATTTTAGAAAGTGAAAAATGTAATTCCACCATCTTTAGGCATTATTTGTTCATGAAAAGTTTGAAAGAATTCTACTTTGAGTACATCTGAGCCAGGTTTTGTTTTGTTTTGTTTCCTTTAAAATCAGGCCAATCCTTTTTTTCTTCTTGAAAGAGCATTTCTTTTTCACCCCCCTACTAATTATGTGCCTCCTTGTTGCTTACAGTGAAGTAATATTCTGTTGCATTCATATACCACAATTTGTTTAGCCATTTCCTTCTTGGTGGAATCTACTTTGCTGTCCATTTATTTGCTACCATAAGAAAGTGCTACTATTAATATTTCTAGAATGATTAGACCAATTAATGGTCCCAACAGTAATGGATAGTTTTCCTATCTTTCCATAGCCTGCCCAGTATTAACGATTTCCATCTTTTGTCATCATTGCCAATTTTTACTGGGTGTGAGTTGAAATCTCAGAGTTCTTTTGATTTGCATTTCTCTTATTTTTAGTGATTTGGAGCAATGTTTCCTATGATTGTTAATAGTTTGTAATTCTTTTGACAACTGTATGTTAATTTCCTTTGATCATTTAGCTGAGAATGACTCTTAGTCAAAGCCAATCTGTTTAGCAGTGATATGACAGAAGAATCATAAATGACACAAAGCATAGTGGAAAGACCATGAAATATTTTACAGTCTGTGAGTAAACTCCAGCAGGAAGTGGTATAAGGATGTGTAGTCAAGGATATGTATGACCAGAAAAGGAGGCGGATCAGGAGTCAGTGAGTGATAACAAATGGATAGCCTGAGTATTGTACTGGTCTCTATCAAATATTTAAAAAGCCAGAGGAAGGTTTCCAACTCCAACTAAGGAATATTTATGGGAGAGAATATGTAAGAATCGTAAAAGTGAGAAGTGAGTGTCTTATAGTCTGTCCTGGTTAAAGGAGTATTCACACACTAATAAGATTATGAATCCACTTAGTATATTTTAAATGAAGGATACCCTGTGTTACCATTCTATTACGTGTCAATGATGTCAATGAGATTAATATTTAATAATAGTGATAAATGCATAAAAATAAATGTTTTAATGGCTGTAATTATGCCAAATATATTTATAATCTGTAAACTACATGGAATTAAAAGCTTTAAAAATATAAAGACCTATTAGAGGAAAACAAAATAATATGAGAGTAGCATGTTGTACATATTTCTATTGTTCTAACTATGCTGGAGTTATACTGAGGATGCCTGAAGTGAACCTATAAAGGATGTTTATATCCTAATATTTATCTATAAAATGTTTTTTATGTACCTGTGTAATAGAACATTAAAAAAGAATGTTTCAAAAGAACATAAAACATGAAAGAATAATAGCAGGATAGTGACTTGTCCCAGGACAGTTTCTATCTGAACACCATAAAAAGATGAGACTAATGAGATGAAATAACAATAAGAAATTTTAAAATAGGTAGCAGAGATGACAACACTGATTAAAATAATTTGATTCAGAAGTTAAACCAAAATCAGTTGTGGCAAATTAATGGAGAGAACAAAAGCTCACAAGTAGCTTTCACCAGAAAGCATTTTAGCAAACACTTCACGTATTTGCTGAATGGAGAGAGATGACTGCCAAAGGCAATGGAAAGTAAGAATATAAACTATATTACAAAGAAGGATAATGGACTTTTATGAGCAAGAACATTTCATAAAAAATAGAAGAGTGGATGGTAAAACCAGTTTAAAGAAATCTTGATAACATATCCAACCCAATTAAGCAAATCATTCCAACGGCATTCAAGGATTAAAATGGAAAGAGGATTATAAGTAATTAAAATTGAAAAAAAATTGAAACATTTTAATTAACTTTTCTTTATTAAGGGCAATGGAAACACCATACTTGGACCTTACCATCAAAATCCTAGATGTTCTTATAGAGGAGTTAAAAATAGCACTAAAGAAACCAGAGATGGGAAAAATAGAGAAGACCAAGTCTATATAAAGGAGATCTGTACTGAAAGGAATACTATTATGAGGGTATTGAGGGTCTCACATACAAGGGATCTGAAGGAAGGGAAGATGCCAAAGGTGTGGAAACAAGTTATTATTAATACCTTATTAATACTGAAAGGTGACTGACAGAGCATCAATAATTATCTGTCTATATGCCTAGTCTTCCATTGTGAAAAAAAGAATTGTGATGGTCACCTACACACAAATTAAGGGCATTTTCAGTAAGTATATTTTTTGACAACAAGTAGATTTTGTGTTTATTGTTTCTAACTAAGAAAAGCACTTGACTTCATAGTACAAAACAAAACAGCACCTTAAAAATCTTGGTTGTTGGTTTTTTTTTGATAAGGCGGCAATGGTCATCTCCATGTATTTCCATATATGTATCTATGTATCTATGTATCTATCTATCTATCTGTCTATCTGTCTATCTGTCTGTCTATCTATATATATATATATATATGTACACACACACACAGAAACACACACACACATGCATGGTGGGTGGGAACATGTTGCAAAATATAAACCAATGAGAAACACAGCAGAAAAACCAGAGTAAAAGAGGTTATTAAGGAATTATGTGATAGAAAGAGAAGCTGGAATGGTTATATGGCAAGAATGAGAGGTGACAGGTGAAGTTACCTCTACTAGTCCCTTCACAATGTTGGGAGAAAGTGAGGAAGGCCTCTCTCTAGCATATCAGCTGGACCTTGTGTGGTGAACTTTTTGGAGGACATGTACGTACAAGACACGTGTAAGACTCACAGAAGATGAACAGGCATAGATGGATTGTAACTGCATTGTTAGAAGGAAGTTCTCACTAGTGAAGATCAGATGTTCACTTGACTATTAATTAAAATAGATGACACTTTTCAAATGCCTTTTGATTTTCATAGCATTTTATCTCCATTATATCATTTGAACCTTACAACAAACCTTGTGAAGTATGTCCTCCAGGTATTATTATCCTGATTTTGTAAAGGAAGAAACTGATGGGGCTGAAGTGATTTGCCCAGATTTGAACCAAGGCAGCATGATACCATGGATAGTGGGTTGGATATGGAGTCAGGAATACTGAATTCAAATCAGTCCTCTGACATTTATTAGCTTTGTGCCCGTGGGTAAGTCACAACCTCTATAGGCCTTAGTTTCTTCCTTTATAAATTAAAGGGATTGGACTAGATGAGCTATAAAATTCCTTCCAGTTCTAAATTTGTTATCCTATGATCCTATGAATTCTTCTGCCCAAAGTCCAGGATTGTTACCACTGTGTTACTTTTAGTACCTTGTGTTTAGTTCATACTTGTTCATTTCTATGGTGTCTGGGTTAGTGGTTGAATGGGAAAGTTCTTTTTCCCCTCCCCCCACTTTCTTTATGCATCTGTGGCAAAACTAGATCTATTTGAAGTCTAGGCTGGCAAACACCTTATGATTTTCCCTGGATGAGTCTTTGTATAGAGATTCAGTGGAAGCCATGCTTGGTCAGTGTCTCCTAAAGTTATCTTAATGCTCTAAAGGTTACTAAAAGGAGATAGTGTAGTGAAAGCTGTTCATTCTGTGGCTATAGAGGACCAGATTCAAGGCTGGGCATATAGCCTTTTTGATTGGCATATTGGGAGGGATTATCCTTTGTTACTGGAGGAAGGGACCCCTCGTTAGGGAACTCTCAGCTGTTTAGAGTTTTTGGAGCCTATTAATATTAGATAGGTCTATTAGTATATATATCAAGGATAAACACCACAGATAGGCAGTGAGCTGGGCCCAGAATTATAGAATGAAGAGGGTAAGCAAGATTGCGTTTAGAAAATTATGCAAGGCTTTTAATAACTCCAAGCTTTTCCCTGAAGCTAAAATCCATCTTTTTAACATTAGTATTCTTACCATACTCTTTAGCAACAAGTCATAGAGTACTATAATCTCCGAGGAATTAAAATTAAGTCACCCAAAAAGCAATGAAGTAGTCTGTGGGTGGTATAAGTGGACTATAGGATTTGCCATCAGTGGTAATTTATATAAAGAATTAGCATAGTATTTTCCAAGATACAAATGGCTTAAAAGGAGGCCGGCTGGCTATCTAGAAAGAGTAAGGAGTAGCAGTTGGATAGCCCAAATTCTCATGTATAATAAAGTCCTAAAGGAAAGCATGTTGAGTAAATTCCCTTGTGAAGGGTTTATGGCAAGATATGAGTAAGAGTTGAATAGAACAAGAAAGCATGAATTAATTGTGATTTTTGCCATATAGAGATTACCCATATTGATGAAATCATAGAGTCCGCAAATTCCCAAGTGGTCAATGGATAGATTTCAGGGGTTCCATGAGTTTGGATGGAAAAAAATTAAATAAATTCACTAACTACCAACTGCAAGATACTATTTTCCTCAAATATACATTTAAAATTATTATGAGAGTAGTCCACAAAACAAACAAAAAAAGTTAAGAATTCTAAAATTCAAGTATTGAAATATTGAGTCTCTTCACCTGTAGCAGGTCTTATTCCTTTTGTTCGGGTCCCTGTGGTAATCTAGTTTCCAGGGACATTTTCATCGTGTGTGTTCTGTTGGAATTCCTCCAATATGGGAAGGGAAGCCAGCTGGACATGTCCCCTCTGTATCCCTATAGGTGTATCGTGTGATTGCAGCTGCTTTCTTTGACCATTTTGGTCTGGACATAGCTAGTACCCTAAGGAATGGCCTAAGATGAGTCTGTTCTGGCTCACATCCATTCATGAAAGGTTGCTGGTCAGTTATAGTATATCATAGCACTTCTTATGTGCTTTTCATGCACTATTTTGTCTTTATGTGCATGTTTTCTCTCTCCCCTATATTATAAACTTTTTGAGGGCTGCAGATATCTTTTTATTCTATGTATCCCCCACAGCATTTAGTTCAGTTCTTTTTAATTGTAGGCATACAGTAAATGAACAGCTGTAATATGAGCAGCATGAGTCACTGCAGAGTAGTGCAGAGAACATGGTATCTAGTGATTAAAATATTTTAGCTCAACTTCTGACCTTGACACTGACTGGTGCTGGTATATTTGTCATTTAATTTCTCAAGTTAAAACATAATTTCAACACTTGCTACTCTTATGTACGAAAATTAATGTTGTCATAGAAATACTTATTTCATACCCTGAATCTTGTTATATAGGTGTAGATAAAAATTTAAGAATATTAATAAGATCACAGGTTTAGAGCTTTAGAGCTGGAAAGGACCTAAGAGGTCATCATGTCCAACCCCCTCATTTTATGGATGAGGTAACTGAGGCATAAAGAGGTTGTAATTTGTCCATTTTGAGGTGAGATTTGAATCCCAATATTTCTGGCTTTACTCCAGTGTCCTGTCTGCTCTGCTGTGCTGCCTCAAACAAATTATTTATGAATTTAGGAAACAGAAACATTACTTACAGAAATAATTTACTTTAGGGTAGGAGTGGCATACTTGAATCTAACAGAGTGAGAAATAAGAAGTACTTGCTCAAGTTTGAATTTTAAAATGAGCAAAAATAACTATTAGGCTCTTTAGGTAATACCTATACTTATCATTTAGTAGTACAATGTTTTAGTTCTCTTTGAAACCATTTTAATTCCTATTTTTTTAAAGTTAATGAATATAGTTGGTCCTTTAAGCAAAAGCTCTATTTTGTCATAACATTTTCAAACTTAATACAAAAGATTTGATCATTGTAGAATGGGATAAAACTGCAAACTAATATTTTTTGTAATTGACAAAATTATTAATGGCATTATTTAAAATTCAACTGTACATCTCTTTGGCTTTTTATTTTGCAATGTGATTACACTGATGTTTGTTCTCCCAGCACTCACATCCGCCCCTAACCCAACCTACATTTTGAATATACATTAAGCAAAATTTCAATTTCTGAGCAATTTGAAATTCTCAACAGAAGTGGTGCTAGATATTTTCAGATACAGGTGCCTATAATAGCCATGATATTAATAGTAGTCATAATTGGCCATTGCATTTTAATTAGTGATACTAATTATTTGTAGCAAGAATATAAAATATCTGTTAAAAATCTAAGTCTAGTAATTAATTTTTTCTGTAGTGTTATAAAATCTGGTTAAAATAATTAAAAATTCTTGGGAGTATGTTTATCATGGATGCTGACTTTTAAAATTTTCACCACATGTTTAAAATTTCTTCTTACTTTTAGGGTTGTTGGAGAAAGATAACTGTTGATGACATTCTACCATTTGATGAAGAGAATAGATTATTACTTCCAGCCACAACTTGTGACGTTGAACTTTGGCCAATGATTTTAGCTAAAGCCATCATTAAGCTCACAAATGTTGAGTATGTTGAAGGGATAAGCTATCAATATTTCTATAAAAACAAACCAAAAATCCAGTTTTAATGGCATACAAAGACTCTTAATTATTTCTAAAGTGACTGCAAATGATATACAGTAGCTTTAGAGACCTACTGTGAATGTGAACACCGTAAGACCAATAATTAAAACAAATCTTCAAAGCCCAGCTTGAATCCTTATAAGTAGTTTGTTTTTCTTTGAGAAGCACATTGGGAGAATTTGATTTCAAGTGGCTGCCGAACAGTAGCATAGTAGAACATTCTGGTATTTGATTGTCCTAGGGGAATGATCGTGAATTTTCCAAATTCCTTACTCTGTCAGTAGCTTCTACAGATAATTCAGACACTGGCTTAATTCATCATCAAATAAATAACTTGTAAAATTATAGTGACACTTTTCTTCCTTACCTCTGTATGTCAAAATAAAATATAGGTAACTTCTGAGCATAAAGAATAGGATTACTTTTATTTCACTTAGGAAGTGAAGACTCAGGGGATGTGAGACAAGTTTTACAAAAATTATGACAGTAGCCTGTTAATGTTACCAATGATTTGTAATGCCTTGAGATTGCATAAATTTTTTGGGGGAGGAAATATGTTCTGTTCCTTAGGGACAGGGAATGGACTTGTGATTTCATTATGATAGGGAACTCCTGGGTGAAGAAATTCCCTCTACTAATACAGGTTGGCATTTCTGTAAGTTAAACATTTAGAGCATTGCTTAAAGCATTGAGAGGTTAAGTGACTTACCCAAAGGTCACAAAACTAGTATGAGTCAGGAATAGTACTTGAGCCCATATCTTCTTGACTTCGTGGCTCCTCCGTGGTATCTCTTCTTATTTATATGACTTCGTTTTTCTTCATTTATAGTTTCAGTTAATATTCCAATTTCCCTGAAACTGAAATTTAGCTAGAAAATTTCTTTGTTTCTTAATGTAAAATAGTGAAATTTAAATGTCATTGTCATGTATGTAAGGGTTTGATTATTATGAGCATTTCCAAGTCATCTCAACAATATATCTATTTAAGATATTATTAAAAATTAAATTTGAAATCATGCCAAAAGAAATTTTAGCACCACTGATACTTTTTTGCTGAAGAAAAGTGAAGGAGCTGGCTTCTTTCTGAAGTTCCATGAGTTTCTCCCTCTCTTTTTGTGGGCCTTATATAATATTTGGATATTTTCATAGGACTATATCAATTGACAAAATTTCATTTTATTTAGTCTCAATGTCTGATGCTTATAAACTATGATTGGCAATTAATATGGGCATTATAAAGTTTCCTCATTATGTTTAGGAAAGGGTTATTTAATAATGACTTCTTGTTCCTTAAATATTTGTCCAAATTTTGATATTTTGATAACGTGACAAAACTTGTCTTTTTTTCCTAGCATCCACATGGCTGACCAAAGAGAGTTAGGGGAATTCACAGTTCTTCATGCACTTACAGGATGGTTACCAGAAGTCATTCCTCTCCGGTAAATTTGTTTATTAAGTTAGTAATTTATCTTTTCTTGAAAGATTTTTTTTTTAAGTAAAAAAGGCTTTAAGAATAAAATTCAAAAAAGGTTGTATTTTGAATAGTGTTGGTGGGCCAATTAGTCAACAAGCATTTATTAAGCATTTACTATATACCAGCCAAGAGCTGGATAACATTTTAAGAACTTCTAAAAATTCCTTGAGAAATTTAATATAAAGGCATCTGATTTCATATACTGTGATATAATTACCGAAATATTTGATTTATGAATGATAAAACAATAGTGATTATTCAACAAAAGGAACTCTTCCCTGTTTTATTTCACTATATTTAATATATAATTTATATATTTATATTTTATTGTATTAACTATGTTTAATATTTAATTCCCTATGTTTAATAAACTTAATTTGCTTCAACACAGAGACCAAAAAAAACCCCAACTCAATCTCAGTTGATTATTAAGTAGTCAGGCTGTATAGATACAGAAATGCTTTTACTATGAGAAAAAAAGAATTCTCAGATGTTCTAAGGAATAAAGTAAAGTGCTCACTTAGAGAGCAGCCCTGCCGGCTACCATTAGCAACTTTTAGGGGAAGCTATGTCAGTGCTTTAAAGAGATACTGTCTTGACTGACATAATGTGAGATAGAATAAAAAAAAACTTCCAACTAGGAAAAGACAACACTTGACTGTATGTACAAATAGAGTGAATAAAGCAGGAATACTCTTAAAAAGTAAAAATGTACAGATTATTGAGGTTTAATGTTTTCCGGTATCTTCTTCCTCCATATTTGTTAGAAACGCTAACGGTATTGGTGGTAGTATGGTGATCAGTAATCATGAGATGAGAGCCCTAGATTTGTCTTTCCTACTAATTTGCTGTGTGATTCTGAATAAGTCATCCTTCCTTGTTGAGCCTCATTGTTTCCGTGTGTAAAATGATGAAGGGAAATGGAGAGATGTGCATCTTCCTTGAGGTTTCTCCTCCTGGTATGCCTTTGGTTTTGTTTTGTTTTTTTTTGTTTGTTTGTTTGGTTTTTTTTGCCTCTTGTTGATTTTAATTGTATTGCTGAACTCATTGTGTATGTTGTTCTTTTGTCTTGGCTTCCTGCTTTCTGCATCATTCAATAAAGTCTTTCCTTTATTTCCTTGAATTCTTCATATTTGTCATTCCTTATGGTTAAGTAATATTCATTGATCTTCCTATAGTTTGTTTAGCAATTCTCCTATTATTGAGCCAATGTTTTGATGTTTTCTTTTATTTTCTAACGTTTGTCATCTCAAATAATGCAGCTGTGAACATTTTTAGGCATATTTTTTCCAAGTAGCGGGATCTCTAAATCAAAGAGAATAAACAATTTAGTTACTTTTGTTGAATAATAATTCACACTGTTTTTTGGAACATTTGAACCAATTAATAGCTCTATGAGAAGTGAATTGGCATGATTTTTTCCTCCAAAGTCCCTATAATTATCCTGTGTTTTGTCATTTTTCTTAATTCAGTGGCTGTTAATTCTGAGGTTAAAATGGTGGGTTGGACTGAATTGTGAAGGACTTAGAATGACAGGCTGAGAAGCTTATTTGGTATATAGTGGGGGATTCTAAAGGTTTATTGAGTAAAATTGTAAAAGGCAGCAATAGATAGTGGCCTGTAGACTGATTTGATATCACTCAAGTCCTGTACCAGTACAGTAGGTATATAAAACTCATCCTGGACTTTTGCTTCCTCCCCACATCCCCCCCCCGAAATAAGATAGGTATGTATCTCTCCTCCTAAGAAGTTTGTTTTATTTTGGAGGTAAGAAGGCATCTAAAGGAAATAACATGGTCAGATGTGTGCATTAAGATTATTTTGGCATCTAGCTGATGCAGTGGATAGAGCATTGGGCCTGGAGTTAGTAAAACCTGAATTCAACTCTGGCCTCAGACACTTACTAGCAGTGTGATCATGGGCAAGTCACTTAATCCTATTTGCTTCAGTTTCTTCATCTCTAAAATGTACTGGAGAAGAGAATGGCAAACCACTCCAATATCTTTACCAAGGAAACCCCAAATGGGGTCATGAATAGTCAGACATACCTGAAACAACTGATTAGCAGTTAGAGGATGGAAGCAGAGACATGATAGGCAACTTTTTTCATGTGTGATGGCAGATGCAAAGGTCTGGTCGAACTGTCTTCATGTGAATTGGAGGGATGTGAGAGATGTCATATAATTTGAATGGATCAGATTTGGTTATTGATTGGCTTTGGGGAGATGAGGGAGAATGAAAAAAATGAAGATGAATTTGTGGCTTGAGACCTGTTATGTAAATGACCTTGCCATCACCCAGTCATTGCCAATCACTGGTGGAAATACTTGCCATACCTGGTAGAGATAATGTATATAATAGGACATGGGAAACAAATAATAAAAGAGTAATAAGAAGGAAAGCACTTGGAGAATCAGGAGGAGTAGGAAGATAAAGGAAGCAGTAAACTAGCCTGGAGAAGACAAGAATCAGAAAGAAAAGGCAGAGTCTAATGGTATACTGTTATCTTGTCTATGCATAGTATTGCAAAAGGGTTCCTGGTTTGTTATAGACAAACCAAAAATAATTAGAGAAATTATTACAAGGCTGAAGAGGAGGGTTAGTATCTAAATAAATTATTTAGTCGGTAACCATAAGGCATCATGAGGTGGTGGATGAAGAATTGGCCTTGGAACTTGGAAGACCTAGGTTCAAGTCTGGATGACATGCTAATTGTTTGACCTTGTGCAAATCACTTACCCTCTTTGTGTTCTAGGAAACTCTCTGAAGCTTTAAGTTGCAAAGAAGGTGCTGACCTGCATTGGTTGAGGAAACTGCCTTGTCTGGGAGTTCTCTCCATTAATGAAATCATAGGTCTAGTCACTACCCCTGTAAGAAGGAAGGAAGTTTCTCTGAACAGGATGATTGGTAAAAATCTCAGGGGGTTAGTTAGCTGAACAAATACATCAGTTCCCTTGAGGGAATTCTTCAAAGCACCAAAAAATGTAAGATAACCTGAGCTCAAGAATAGTAACATGGGATATTGAACCTAATTAGGGGAAGTGGGAGAAAGGGTACGTGTGTGTATGTATGAGAGAGACAGATGAACAAAGATGGGCAGAGAGACAGACTGGGAATGCACTCCCCTGCTCAAAAATCTTCAGTAATTCTTTGTTTTCTAAAGCACAGAGTATAAATTCCTTAGCCTGGCATCTAAGTCCACTGCTTAGTCTGGTTCCTACCTACTTTTCTAACCTTATTTCATACTATTCATCTTCATGAATTCTACATTATAGCAAAGCTAGACTACTAGCCATTACCTAAACTCTGTGTACTTTCTCTTTGTCCTGTTCTGGGAATGAACTCTTTTCTAGTCTCCATCTCTCAGAATCTTTGTCTTACTTAAACAATCAGTTCAGATGCCATTTCCTCTATGAATAATTCCAAATTATTAGTGCTCAATCCCTCTTCAATTTTCCTTATATTCCCTTTATTTCTATTCATGGTGTAGGCCATAGATGCTTATTTTTCTTTGAACCTCCAGTACCTGGAACAATACTTTGCACAGAAGTACTTAATAAGTGAACTTGGGTGACTAGAAGAATGGTAATATTTCCAATGAAAACAAAAAGTTTGGAGAAAGGATTAGTTAGGTTCAAAGGAACTGAATTCTTTTTTGGACATCCTGAATTAATGAACATCTACAACAGACCTGCACTGTCATTGAGGATCTTGTATCATTAAAATCCATATTACACAGTCAATATAAAACATGAGCTCAGAGAAGCTTTATTGAGCAAATAAAATTTGAGGAAGGCCTTAAAGAATTAGTAGGATTTGACTAAGCAAAGAGGGGGAAGAAAACTACAGAAAAGTGGTCTATGCATAGGCTGGGAGTGGGAATATACATGGTACAAATAGGATCACAAAATTCTAGACTTAGAGATATAAGAGACCATTTAATTCAATTCCCTCATTTTACAGATGTGGCAACTGAAGCACAAGAGTTTAGATGACTTTCCTAAGTCATACAGGCAGTAAATTATCAGAGGCAATCTTTGAACCCAGGTCTTCTGACTTCAGAGCCAGTGAGAGGAGAGTTGTTAGTCTTTATAATGTTGTTTTAACCATACTTTCCACTTATAAATCACAATATATAACCACATAAGGGCAAGGGTTAAAAAGAAAAAAAAAGCACTCCTAAATCTAATTATTCTGTTAGTACCTTCATTCATTTAGTCGTTCAGTCTTGTCCAACTCTTCATGACCCTGTGGACCATAATATGCCATTATTGTCCATAGGGTTTTCTTGGCGAAGACACTGGAATGGTTTTCCATAATTTTCTCCAGTGGATTTTAATAAGTAGTTCTAAATACTTCCTTATGTGTCTGTGTCCTGTCTTTGGACCACCCCAGGACATTTCAATGATTTCTGACCTTCTTGGTCAGAAACTTGTAGCTTTTTGCAGTATTCTTGGCCCTTTCAGAAAAAGGTGTATACACACACACACACACACACACACACACACACTTGTTTTAAATAAATTACATCTAGGTGTGAAATACTTTCCTTTTTTTTTTTTTTTTAATTTTTAGGCAATTTGGGGCTAAGTGACTTGCCCAGGGTCACACAGCTAGTAAGTGTCAAGTGTTTGGTCTGAGGGCGGATTTGAACTCAAGTCCTCCTGACTTCAGAGTCAGTGCTCTATCCACTGCGCCACCTAGCTGACCCATGGAATACTTTCTTAATCACTCCTAGATACTCACTCTGAGCACTAATTGTCTTCAAGTGGCTCTTAATTTCTCCTGTTTTCAGTTTCCTATCCCGCCACCTACGGCTCCAAGCCTCCGATTTCTTTTTTTTTTCTCCTCTGAACTGCTCATTAAAGGAAATCTATTACCTTACTATATTTGCCCCTAGTTGTTTCTAATTTATTCACTCAGTACTGATATAGATGGATTATCCAACTTTTTTTTTTTTAAAGAAGTCACACTCTTTTTCAACATTTTGAAGTCATACGATAACGAACAAAATATGGTGTAGATTTCTTTACAGAGCAATAGACTAGATTGCTTGGAGTGAAGGGAGAAGTTTGGGTAGATAGAATGGAATTAGAACTGAGAAAGCTTTGAATGCCAACCAGGTAGAAAGTCTGGGCTTTGTACTGTGTTGATTTAAGATCTGAAATAGAGAAGTCTGAGGCCTAAAGCGTCCGAGTATAATGATGTATTTGCAAGACTAGCAGTTGCCAACAAATCAAATTATCTGACTTCTTAGTAGTCAGATACAAAGGAGTGGATTATAGAACTTATTTTTATAACAGAAAAAGAGGAGTTACAAATTATAGCAAACTTAGGAAACTTGTTTTGTACATAATTCAGTTGGGCAAGGCAGATCATCTAACTAGTTTACTTTGCTGGGACTTTCCTAACATAGCTTGCTGCTATTGCCAACATTTGGAGTGTGGTCATGTTGGGGGCATAATGGGGAGTTTCTAGGGTAGGACAACCATTAAATCTGATGTTCTGTTGGATTATGGCCTGTGTCTGACAACCTATCAAAGTGATATTGCCTTAGAAATCTTGCCCCAACATGTTAGCCAATCTAATTATTGGCTAACATGTTGGGGCAAGATTTTTAAGGCAATCTAATTATCTCAATGATACATAAGAATTAGTATAGTGAGAATTATTATGAAATTAATAACTGTTAAAATTGCTCTTCTGGGATGAGCATACTATATAAAAACTTAAAATACTTTCTTTTCCATTCTGAATGTTAATATAAAAATAAGAGTTCAATAAATATTAAACAGCTGCAATGATACTTGAAACAGAATAGCATTTGTAAGACCTACTTGCTAGCAAGTGCACCTTAGATAAAGAGAAAAAAGTTTCGTTTGGAAAAAAACTAAATGTTGACATATCTATTTTTAAGCCAAGGATATTTGGACAAAATTTGGAAGTTCTTGAAAGAAATATTGCCAGAGTTTAAACTGACCGAGAACAACAGTTCTGAAAAACTGTCAGATTTGAAATCAAAAGATGGAAAAGATTCTAAGGATGGAAAAGATGAAAGAGGTGGAAAAAACGGGAAAGATGAAAGAAGTGGAAAAAATGGAAGAGAGGAAAGAGGTGGAAAAAATGGAAGAGAGGAAAGAGGTGGAAAAAATGG